TGCATGATGTGTCAAAATGCATTCTGATGTCATTATTAGAACATACAAAAAACAAAGAATGGTATACAAAGGGAATTGTACAATTAAAAAAATAACCTATGAAACTTCTGTTGTATTATCTAATAAACAATAGTTACAATTACAAAAAAATAAATTGACTGGATTTCATCATTCACTCAGTGGAGAGTAAAAATCTAGCAAATCTACCCTCAGGCACAGGTCTCCAATTTCCCCAGCCCAGGCAACCTTCCTCCCACACCTGCTCCTAGGGTGTTGGCTCTTAGCACGTGCCCATTGCATCGGTAGAAGGGTGAATGGTGGGGACAGTTTATGGTACACCTGTAGCTCACTCACTACTACTCCTTGGAGCACCTGTTCCTCAGGTTGCCAGTAGTAAAGAGACGTAGGTAATTGTTAAGGACTAAGCCCTCAAAGCCACTATGTGACGTTGACACCCTCTTAATGCCTTACTCACTCTGTGGGCATTTGTTAATAGTGTTCAAGGGCCAGCAGTTAGTCCCTTAAAGTCTGGTTCAGATGTGAATTTTAAGATGTTAGTTTGTATTTGGGGAATGCCGTCTCTGTCTTTTGTTCCAAGGAAACAACTTAGACTTTTAGATTTCTTTGATTTCTATGGGGTGGAAAATTTTTCTTTTTTAATCGCCTGAAAACAGCCCTGGAATTGACTTTTGTGAATGCCTGAGCTTCCTGAAGAGATGTTATTTATTAGGTATTCCTGAGATTCTATTGAGCAAAAGAAAAACTGTGGGACAGCAGGGCAAGACTGAATGCAAGGGCTAGGGGATCGGAAGGTGAGCTTGCTAGCAGGACCTGGGAGGGCTGGAGACCCTAGTAGCCTTGAAATCACTGCCTCCAGAGGGGTGGCTACACTGAGCTCTGAGCAGACCAGGCCGGGAGCATCAGCTCTGCCTACCTGGCCCCAAATCCTCCAACCCCAGGGCAGCAGAGGCCAGTGAGAAGCTCTGAATGAAGGGCTCAGCATGACACACACTAATAATGACAGATCCTCCCGAGCTCTAGGAAAGCAAAGTCTTAGGTAAAGGTGGCATCAGCAACCATGGAGATTAAATTCCCTGCCAGTCAATCAGGAGGGGACTCTGAGTTTGATTTAGGTGGGCTTATAATTTTTTAAAAAATAAAATCTTTTTCTCCTACCTGGCTTTGGGGAGGAAGGGTTACACCTTCTACTGAAGCCGGGACTATTATAGGAGCATCCCTGATTCAGGTCAATGTGAACACAGTGCAGGAGAGATCCTCCCTCCCTACTCCCTCGTCAGCTCATTGATGCCACTCTAGGAAGGAGCTGGGGGGAGCCTGGCTTTGTGGACTGACTTGGCCAACTGTGGCTTTGGGCCCCCTTTATATGGGATGGTCGGTTGTCAGTTTCTTGATGTCATAAGGCCTTGGGCCCTTCTGGGTTTAACCTCTCTAAGCAGAGCTCCCTGGTGTGGCTGCTGTCATGGCAGCCTGCAGGTGCAGCCTCTACCTGGACCTCTTTTTTTCTCTAAGCACCCTCTGGGTCCCCTCTTTCCAGAAAAGGTCTGTGAACTCTCTGCCTTTGACCATTTTTCATAGGAACTAGCACAGAAAAAGTGAAAAGAGAGAAAACTTGGGAGCAGAAAACCCACAATATCTAGTTGGACCCTCCCACCAAAGCTGGGGCAAATCAGCTTTCCTGTCTCAGTTTCTCTACCAATAAAACAGGAATAACAGCTTCTTCTCATCAAAGAAGTGCTACACAAGTGGTAGAATACTTTGTGGCTGTGTGCTGTTCTTAAATGCAAGAGAACTTTCTTTCCCCCTTCTTTCTTTAGACTTTTCTTCCCTTGGAGAACTGAACCTGGAACTTCCTTGCAGTAGAAACCCATAGGCCAGAGCTTTGGGCTCTGGGATCCCTGATTCACGAGAGAATAAACACAGACTCTATTAAATAAAAAGGGTTTTTTTGTGCCCCTTAAACCTACCTGTGTGCCACAGTGGGCTGCAGCAAAGGGACTTAGCAGGTCATCAGGTCCTTCCGTAAAGTATACCAAAGAAGGGGAGACAGAGTACTTGGTTCTGGTATTGGTGTTTCCACTTATTGGGTGCCATTTAATCTCAAGCAGTTTTCTCATCTACAGAATAAATAAAAGGGGCAGAATGAAGACTTCCAAGTGTAAATCTCAGCTGACAAAGGGAGGACAGAGTTGAGCAGAGCTCATCCCTGACCTCCTGTTCCTCCTCAGGGCCTTTTAGGATCAGCAGCTCTATCAGGGCTCTCCTGCCTTCAGCCTATGGGGCCCTAGTACTTAATGGCCATAGAGGAGGTTGGAAGGATAGGGATGCCCAATTGGCCCTACCCTGCCCTGGCCCACCCGGAGAGCCCCAGTGAGCTCATGTCTGCAGTAACTTCACTGCTCATAACCAGGATGGTGAGACAAACCTGGAAGCCATGCACAAGTGAGAAGTGATGGCTGTCTCCTTAGGAATGTACTGCCCAATTAAAACTGTCTCCCATATGGCTCCAGAGGATGTTGGGACTACTCCGCAGGCATCTTGGCCAACCTCCAGGCTGTGTGGTTCTGCAAGCATTTGTTGAGGGCCTACTATGCATCAGACATCAAGCTGGGTGTCAGGGAGAAAAAGAGCAATAAAAGTAACACTAAAAAGTACAGTCTATCTGTCCCAAGACACACTTTTGGAAGCAGACTGTCAGAGAGCTTGGGTTGTGCTGGTGATGCCCCGGACTCATTTCCAATCTCCCATCAACCCCAAGGCCTGTTTTTCCCTGACCACAGGCTCCAAGCCCTTAGATTGTTTCCCTCCCTTTAGAAAGCATCCCAAGCTCCCTACCTTCTTCTGGCCTCCTCTTCCTCCTCAGTTGATATGGATCAGGCAGCTGACTCATTTCTACTACTTCTGGTATAATCTGAAATTCCTCTGTAATGTCCATCCATAATGCAGATGTTAGGTTTATTGCATCCTGTCCTGGGCAGGGTGTCCAGCAGAGGTCATGAACTGAAGTGACACCCATGCAGTAAGAGAGGATGGGGTCTCAGTAGAGGTCATTCTCCAAGTGAAACACCTGAAGGAGGCAAGTCCTCAGACAGGAAAGACTAACTTGGAAGACTGGTGTCTTCCTCTTTCAAAGGGTGAGAATCTTGAGGGCTAGACTTGGGAGAGGATGGAAACCTAAGTGTGGCATGTG